GGGGAAGGAAAGCGGGTTAAGGGAGGGGGAGGGAAGTGGTTTTGGAGACAAGAAGTGAAGCTGCCTGTTTTCCAGTAAGTAATGGAGAAATTCCAGGAGCCAGGGCTAAATATACTTGGCGATCAATACAGAAATGGCTCATTGTGAATAATTTAGCTGCCTGGTGCAGTGAGAGTTTTGAAACTAAAGGCAAAAAAGAGGCCGTGGAGGGAGAGAGGAAATAAAATTCTCCTCTGGTCATGTCAGATTCTTAACTTTTCCACTTAAAAGAACATAGTTATGATTATTGATCTATCTTTTTTTTTTTTTTTTTTTTCCCCTCAATATATATCAAATGATAGCTAGGGGGTGTCATTCTATACAGTTACTTGGGTTTCTGGAAAGTAATAGCTCGTTCTGTGTCAGCAAAGTGCTTCCAGAAACTTTAAGATTGCTTCACACCACAAAATGCATGATCTGGGAGTATTAAGTGTGATGTTTGGTCCCATGCTGTGGCAGATAAATAGGGTTAGAGTGAACAGGTGCATGTACAGGTGTGTGCGTCCGTGTATGGTGGTGTGAGACAAAGAATTGTAGTAACTCTCAGAGGGGAACAGACACGGGAGGGCTTTATTTTGTTTAGATCGGGATGGAGTCTTTTGGAGTGCGTGTGAAAAGAGCAATTGTTAATAGTATCCATCTCCTCAAAGACTGTTCTGGCTGCGAGAGCTGGTAATTGATAAATCATTGCCATCCCAGCTTGAACAAAACAAGCGGAAAGTCAGGGAGAAAACTCTCAGATCAGGTAGAAATGCAAGTGGGAGACAGGGGTAGAGTCAGATGAAGATGATCCCAGTGCTGCCTGCCCAGGAGGCAGCTGAATTTCTCTACTCACATAATTTGCAGGAAGAGTTCAGTGCTTTGCAAATGAGCACATGCAGTACACTTGCATGTTTCTCTAGGCAATGGTTGCAACAGCAGTAAAATGGGCAACTACTTAGGGCTTTAAGTAAGTTTAATCATTTAATGGTTGATACTGGCAGGCATCTTTGAGGGTGTACTTTTCTGCCTTGCAGCACTGCACTTTGACTATGGAAGCAGAGGCTGCTGATGGATATATAACATGTAAGTAGTCATTTCATTTGATTATTCTGAATTACTTTTCCCACTGTCCTTTCTATAATGCAGACACCTGAAACTTTAGCTTCCTTGTGTATGGACTTTGCGTTGAGATAACACTGCATTAATAGCATTTAAACATAAACTTTGTATATGACTGAAAAATGTGTGGGGAGGGGTGCGTGGCTGAGTACCTCTGGGTTTAAATATTTGCTGAGGATGAATGAACTTTGCAAATGAGAAGAGAGTTCATCTTCAAAAATTCAAATAGCAGCCAAAAACTTTTTTTGCTTTCACTATGCATTTCTCCTGTTTTCTGTGTCAGGGTTTGTGTAAGTGCTTTGTTTAACTGTCAGTTAACCCAGAGCTTTGGGGGAGAGGTCCGTACGGTGAAGTACTGTTTCAGACTTCTCCTGCCCAGCCTGGGTTCTCAGTGTCTGCGAATGAAAAGTAATCCTAACTTCTCTTGAGACAAAGCATCTGGGGCAAGGTTTGTCACAGGTGTGTGCGTAGAAGACTGGTGACAGTAGGTGTGGGGGGGCTCAGAGTCAATGTTTACTTGTGGCCACTGAGAGTTCAGTTTTTGCAGGCTGTGGAAGACCCCATGGTAGAGGAGGGAAGGGCGAAGGGAGCAAGCAAGTTGTACTTTTTAAACTGTTGTGTTGCTCTGCTGATGAAAGGGATGGAAACTTACGGGGGACTTGTTTTGTGAAAGCAGGTGACAATGAGCTTTCGCCCGAAAGGGAGCACTCCGGCATGGCCATTGACCTCACCTCCAGCACACCCAATGGGCAGCATACCTCCCCCAGTCACATGGCAAGCAGTAAGTCTCTTCTTAAACCTGGTTCTCTCTAACAGTGGGTTTGGGTTAGTCTAGTCCTCTGGGTCCTCGGCTTGCTTACCGGGTCTTAACCACTGCTGTAGGCATTGCTAATAAAAGGAGGACAGGGTAGATATTTTTGGTTTGGTTTGTTTGTTTTTTTTTTTCCTTTCTTGTTCATGTTGATGTCTCATCTAACCATGAACGGGATTACTAGTCTGAACTATCCCAAGGTGGCATTTGAGAGCTGGTCCTTACCTGTTGCAGGTAGGAAAACACTAGGCTTGACATGTGCTGTTTTTTTTTTTCATCAGGTTTTGAAATCCAAATGGAAATTGTTGTTGTTGTTATTATTATTATTACTTACTTGCTTCCCAAAACAGCTTGAAGTAGCTTTATTTGGAAACAAACACATTTTATTTACAAAAAGGCTTTACTCTGGCAAAAGTATAAAGTTAAAATATCTGGGCTTGGTGACAGGTTGTATTTTAGTATTCCATACAGAAACTTCAGCATCCTATTCATTACTTCAGCTTTGCTTTGGCAACTCCAGAAGTGGCTGGGATAATTGGAAGTTTATGGCACTCGGTAGCTGACTCTCTAACAAACTGAAAGGATTTTGTTTTAGAATGTCAGCGGAGAAATTGAGAAAACATAGAGACATTTGGGAGTCTACCCAGAGCGTCAAGTGCCGATAATATTTTTATAATTATTTTCATGCTGTATTTTGGAAGTGGATAAATGTTCTTTACACACATTTCATAAAACCAACATCCTTTCTTTTCTCTGTGCATGAGTGCCACAGCTTGTTTTACTGATGGTTACAATACTACATCAAGATATTTACCTTAAAGTAACTCTGTACTTGTAATTTAACATGCTTTGCTTCCAGTATACCTTCAGAAGGTTTCTCTCTCTGTGATATGGATTTTCTTTCTAGTGTGTGTGCTATAGATACATATTTATATTTTTAAACTGAGTGATTGTCTAATAACCCACTGAAAACTGTGAAAGGAAAAGAGAGCTTTTAGGGTTGCCTGCTTTAAAATACACAGTATATTGCCTTCAGAGTCTTTCTTACTGAGGGAAAGATGTTCCTTTCCTTTAAGAATTCTTCTTTCCTCCTGCAAATTACGAGTAAAACGCAGTTTTTATGAGCCTTTAAAACTGAGGGTTATTATGAAGATCTCCCAATTATATACATGTTGCTAGAGAATATGATTGCTAATACTCTGGACTGAACTTTATATGACAACCGATCATAATTCAGCATCTTTAGACAATTCCAATCCTGCTGCACTGGGATTCTGATATATTTTATTATGTTGTAAAAGTTTTACTACTCACTTTCTTCATTTTCTTTGTTTCCTTTTTATTAATGGGAAGCCTTCATTGGAAGGGAAAAAAAGCTCCCTGTTTTAAATCTTCTTTATAATCTAGACTAAAAACCAGAGTCAAATTAGGGAATAAAAAGATCTAGAATGAAGTAATGCAAAAATACTTTTAACACATTCAATATTTTCCTGTTCATTGTGTTAACAATTTCAGTGGTTTTTAAGCTTCATTAGTTCTTGCAACACACATGTATCTGCAGCCTTGGCGAATATCTTATTTTTTAAAATGTATTTTGTGGTATCTCACAGGTGCCTCAACTGCTTTCATCACTGCTGCTCTGCATTAAGCATGTGCTGCTGTTGAAAAATTAGGGGCTCTGCCTGGGGTTCTTAAACCAAGCGAAACTTGAACTTCTATTTGTTGCAATTTATTTACTCTTTGCAGGCATAAGAATGTTTTGCAGAGAGGTGATTTGTTCTGTCTTAAGCATGGAAGGTATTGATTAGAGGTTGTCGGCTTTTGTGGCAGCTGTTATGTTGGTTCATTTAAGGTTTTTGGCCAAATCTTGAATCTGGCATGTGTAGACTAAATCGCCAGGCTGTGCTTTAGAGCTTTCCACCTGTTCTGCAGGGTGTAAGAAATCCTTTAAAAGGTTCAGTAACCCACAGGCCTATGACCTTTTTTTTTTTTTTTTAAATATATTTTTTTAGGCGAGGTGGAGATGGTAAGGAGGAATGTCTGTTTGAAATATTTTGTATGAATTTGGTAGCTCCTGTTGGATTGATCCATCATCCTTCATTGTAAGTGGAGGAAGTGGCTGTGACGTGTTTCAGTATGGTTTAATTTCCAGTGGAGCCATTGGAGACTGATCTACTGTTGCCCTGCTATTACAGTGAAGCCCAGGGCATCTGATTCTGGCTGGGTAGGGTTTGCTAATGGAGGAACTGGTACGTAAGGTGGCACATGGATCAGACCCCAAATGTTTCACTCCTGGTTTTGTTGCTAATCATCCCCAGAAGGTGGATGGCCTTATTTAGCTCAGGATGTGCACCTGCAGGCCAGAGATCTAAGTTTTGACCTTTGTTCTTGCATTCCATTGAATCGTTTCAGCTCTTAATTTAGGCTTAATTTGTGTCTGGCTCAGACAGAAAACCATAAGAAGCAAATTTCTTGGACCTGTACCGAAACAACTGAGCTGTGCTCTCCCAGCAACAGTAAAATTATGTGCTAGGTAAGAGTTTTCTATGTTCGTTAGCCCCTGGCAATTGGTGTTAGTAAGAGTTCTGGCTGGGCTACTGGTGTTTTCAGGTTCTTTTCCAAAAGGTTTCGGGTTAAATATTTTGGCTTGTGTTGGAGAGTTGTCTACGGCATCCTTTAACCTATTATCACATTTTCAAGTATTTAGACGGTATGTATAGGTTATGGATGTGGTTGACACTCAATTTTCCTTGTGAATGAGATGATCCTGAAAGATAAATCACAGTAAATTGCCTGTCATAGCTAACTAATGATCTTACATATACCTGACGGTATATATCTGCCTTTAGCAGAATACTGTATGTATTTTGGCAGATACTCTGAAGTACTTTATTGTAGTTTTAGGTACGCAAAGATTTAAAATATGTGTAAATAGTCAAATTGAATAGGTTGATAGATCATCTCACTTTCCTTTACAGCAAGACAA